GAATCACGGATTGGACACTCCTACAAAAGACATGAAAGATGTTAAAAACATAAACAGCAGATTCAAAAACTCAAGTCAGGAAAACAGAACACAAGAATACTACCCCACATGGAAGTCGTCGAAGAACGAACACAGTCGAAGAACGAACACAGTTGACAGCTGTAGGTCATGTGCAACAACAGACACGAGGAGCATGGCTGCTCTCCAAATGGGTCCCTTCTTTTGTATTGACCCCCTAAGGATTGCTAATCCCCCTTTCTAACTCTTCCCCCAAAAGTAATATATCGCCCCTTTAAAAATGTATTGACCCACAAATTAATGAATATTCATGAGCACAGAAACTGCTACGTCATGAATAAATTAGCATAATTTTAAAAAAAATTGCATAAAGTGTAGGTACTCCTTCTGGAGCTCTGCCGGAAAAAGTTACTTTTGTACACCCCCAACCCTAACACCCTACCCCTACCCTCCAGTGCTCCCCAATTTAATTGTAGATGCCCCTTCTATAGTTATCCAGAGGGGGCATATACAATTGAATTGGGGTGATTGGTATGAGGGTTATGGTTAGGGGTAGGGGTACAAAAGAAACTGTTTCTGGTCTATGTATCCTATAGTCTGTATTTGTCTATACTGTAATGCATTGAATATTCACTAGATTTTATTTTCGCTATTTCCGCTGATATCAGTAAAATCCACTCAATTAAATTGATGTGAACATGTAAGGTGACAATTGAACTCGTTGATTCTCTGTCAAATTCGTAAAGATGGAAATAGTGAAATTAAATGTCAGTGAAAATAAATGATTTTACAGTATGACATTATACCAACAATTTCTAAGATTGGGGTTTGCACAGGTGTGATATGCGATGAAGTTCAAATGCACATTAAAGAAGCCGAGTGAATTGCATGTTTTCGCTAGTGTCTGTGCTTATTTGCAAAAAGAGCCTTTTTTCATTTTTGACTCCCATGTGCAAAGCACATAGTGGGAGTCTTTGCAGTTAGTTGTGTGTGTGTATGTGTGTCCGACTGTTCCACTGCTATCTCAAGAACCATACATTGGTTTTTGATGAAACTTGGTGCATAGATGCTCTGGGCCAATGCGCAGATTTGATTAGGTTTTGGTAAAAATCCATGCTCGTTAATTACCTAATTTGCATGATAATTAGCTAATTTTTAGCTGTTCTATGACAGTTCCACTGATATCTAAAGAACCACTCATTGGATTTTGATGAAACTTGGTACATAGATGCTCTGAATATATGCGCAGATTTGATTAGTTTTTGGTAAAAATGAACAAACCTAATTAGTTTGGGATAAAAATCTGTTCATATTAATTCCCTAATTAGCGTAATAATTCTAAATTTTTTGGTTCTAATCACATTTCAATTAAACTTGGTACATAGATTTTCTGTTACATTGTGCAGACCTCATTAGTTTTACACTCAAATCTGTTCATATTAATTTTCTGATTTGCATAATTGGTTTTAAGCTAAGTAATTTCAAATTATATTTAATGTGTCTCCAATACTCTCAGCACATGGGAGTTCTTTCTAAGCTTTCTTTGAATAATTAATTATAGTGAAATTATGACAAAGTGTGCAATTGTTTTGATTTGTTGAGACAGATAGCTGTTGTCTTTTCTGTGTGTAACACATTGCCCGCTGAAAGACTCCCTGAATAGTCAAAATGAATGGACAAAAACGGCGTCAGCAGGCATGTGTTAAAGCAATTGGGGTATAATTAGCAAGTCTTATAATGATTGCTTGATGGTGCTGAATTCATTCATTCATTCATTTTATAATAAATATTCACATAATTGTTCAGAAAATAAACATATAATGTTACTAATTGCTAAGATTACATGTATAAAATACAAACTCAAATTACTATTTTTGCATTTGTTTTACCATAAAAAGTTAACATAACTGACAACATTATCATAATAAATAACTTGGTGGTTGTATGCCAGAATTTTGTTCAGTAAGCTACCAGATATGTTTATACGTGATCTGATGGTGTTATGACCAAGGCTGGAGCTGTTATTCAATGCTTCATACATGTACCAGACTTTTTCAGCTTAACATTATTGTTTACATGTACTTTGGTAATTATTCTCTTGTGTATGATAACTATCAGTTTAGCAAAGTATAGGACTGGGTGGTGAATATTTTATATAAATTTACATAAAAAATATTCATGCTTCTATGAAATGGAGTAAATATATTTCATAGATCAGTACTCTAAGGAAACACATTACTGCATTAGGGCTAGCCTCAGACAACCCTTGAGGTATCCTGGCTGTCCATCAAAACACTAAGTAATTATGTCATTTTTTTCTTTTACTACTTTTAACACATGGCCTGCTAATAAAATTTTCCCCATTCATTCTGACTATCCATGAAGGTTTTTCAGACAATGATGTGTATATCTCACTCCTCACAGTTATCATACTTTGCAATAGGTGGTTTCTGTTCACCTGTCTAATATGTGAAAGCATGGAACCAACATCTGCCGCAAAAATCAAATGGTTTGATTTTGAACTTGAATTTTTTTTTGATAAATCAATTTCATAGTGTTGATTTTCAGAGTAGAATATGAGATCCCTGTACTTCATCAAAAATGACCATCACCAAATGTGGATAGCAATTAAGTTTTGAAATACCCTCATAATACCCTCATAATACCCTCCATAATACCCTCCATAATACCCTCCATAATACCCTCCATAATACCCTCATAATACCCTCATAATACCTCCATAATACCCTCCATAATACCCTCATAATACCCTCCATAATACCCTCATAATACCCTCATAATACCCTCCATAATACCCTCCATAATACCCTCATAATACCCTCATAATACCCTCCATAATTCCCTCATAATACCCTCCATAATACCCTCATAATACCCTCCATAATACCCTCCATAATACCCTCCATAATACCCTCATAATACCCTCCATAATACCCTCATAATACCCTCCATAATACCCTCATAATACCCTCCATAATACCCTCCATAATACCCTCCATAATACCCTCCATAATACCCTCATAATACCCTCCATAATACCCTCATAATACCCTCATAATACCCTCATAATACCCTCCATAATACAAAATGTTTGTTGAATCCAGTGTACTGTTTTGGTGGCACTATGACATTGTCCTGTTTTTACGTTCAATTTTATTCATAACGCAGGATCTTACAGTGAACGAAAAACTGTCTATTATCACGCCCAGGCGAGCCCATACATGTAGGTTAAAATATCTTGATGAGATCTGATATGAGGTAATCTAATTGTATCATTCTGTCCGTGCTGCATGTTGCTGACTATCTTGCTGGAAATAGTTTTTTCTGATTGGCTGCTTTCTGTCCATGTGTCCATCATATATCTGGTGACTTTTTTCTTACAGACAATAGGGGCAGCGTTTGGTGCTAAAAAAGTGGAAATTGGTGGGAAAATGATTACAATGGGAATTTGGGTAAGCATCTTAAATCTTTTCTTTCAGTTTGATTAAAAATGAATAATTACCACTGGAGTGTTATTCACACAGAAAATATTGTTTGCATAATTAGTCAGACCTTACAATATGAGGTGAGGGATCACTCCACTCGATAATCGGTGCCTAAATCAAGAGCCAGAAAAGCTAATTATCACTCGCAGGTGCTTGTGTTTGACCAAGCCTGGTTAACGCCAGGATAGCATAATAAATGCCATTTTATAGATAGATGGCAATACAGCCCTGTCATGTAGTCCCAAACGTGAATATGGCATTCAATGTTCGGAACTGTCGAACTGTCGGAACATAATTTTAAAAACAAACAAAAAATAAAATAAAAATAAATCATAATTTTTTCAATTCAGACCATCTCCAAAACATTTTACTACCTGTAGTATAGCTATCCTAAACAATTGTGTCACTGTATTCATTAGAGCCAAGTTCAGCTGCAAGACCATTTTCAAAAGACAAGGTATTCGTTTTTTGGAATGCGCTGATATTTTTGTGTTTTTGAATGTCGCAAAAATATTGTTATTGTTGACTGCATACCATGGAATTCAATTGATGCATCTCTTATTTAATCACCTGACCACAACAACTACCGGTACATCACTTTCATAGT